CCTGTGCTCCTAATTAGCAGTCTGTGGGTATCTAGACCTCAGTGGGCAGGACTTCGTGATTTGTAGAAGAGATTTTGGAAATCCAAGATTTTATCATTTTTGAATGTTGGAAATTAATTTTCATTAAAAAAAAAGCTTCTGTGGACTACCCAGATCACTTCAGCAAGCTAAATGTGGGCCACGAGATGCCGGTTTGCCTTTTTTACCTGACTTGGCCTGTCTCTTCCATTGTTCCATGAGAGGTCTTTGAATATCCTGTAAGTGCCCCTGCGCGGCACTGGAACAGAACAGTGAAAGATCAGGACCCCTTTCCTCACGTTTACACCCCAGCAGGTTCTCTAATCCACTTTGTATGGGACCATGGTCATGGTGGCTGACCTTCCGACTGCCTCTGTATCACCTTCTCTGATGAGATCTTAAGTCTTCAGTTTTACATGCTGGACTTTTTCTTTCCTTAAAAAAAAAAAACAAGTTTCAAACAGGATTATTGAGATATAATTTACATACCCTAAAATTCACCCATTTTAAGTGTACAATTCAGTGAATTTTAGTATACTTATATAGTTGTACAGCCATTGCCACAATGTATTTTTGGAACAATTCTATCACCCTAAAAAGAAATGTCATGCCCATTTACAGTAATTCCCCATCCAAACCCTAAACCTCCCCCCCAAACAAAACCAAACCAGTTGCCATTGAGTCGATTCTGACTCATGGCAACCCTGTGTATGCAGAGTGGAACTGTGCTCCTTAGGGTTTTCATAGCTGTGACCTCTCAGAAGCAGATCGCCAGGCCTGGCTTTCCAGGCACTCTGAGAGGGCTCAAACCACCAACCTCTCGGGTAGTGTTGGGGCACTTTACTGTTTGTGCCACCTGGGAACACCTATCCTACCCCTAGCCCTAAAAACTCATTGCCGTTGAGTCGATTCTAGCTCGTAGTGACCCTATAGGACAGAGTAGATCTGCCTCATAGAGTTTCCAGGGGGCGCCTGGTGGATTCGAACTGATGACTTTTTGGTTAGCAGCTGTAGCACTTAACCACTACACCACCAGGGTTTCCCCCCTAGCCCTAGGCAACCACTAATCTCCTTAGTGCCGCCGTAAGTTCGCCTTTTTTGAACATTTCATATAAATGGTATCATAGAATCTGTGTTCTTTTGTGCCTGGCTTCTTTCACTAAGCATAATGTGATTGCATTTCATCCATGCTGTAACATGAGTAGAACTGCCCCATAGGGTTTCTAAGGAGTGGTTGGTGGATTCGAGCTGCCGACCTTCTAGTTAGCAACCGCAGCTCTTAACCACTGCACCACCAGGGCTCCGTATCAGTACTTAGCTACTTTTTGTAATGACAACATAATATTCCACTGTATGGGTATGCCACATTTTGTTTATCTTTTTAGGAGGTGATAGACATTGGGGTTTATTCCATTTTTTGGCTGTTGTAAATGATGTTGCTATGAATCCTGAAAGTCTCTTAATAGGATTCGACAAGAATGGGAACACATTATTCTGAGCACTTAGCTGTTGTGCCTGAAAACGACAGTGACAATCCCTGTGGGGGTATTTCTGGGCCCTTAGTCTCAGACAAGAAAATATGCAAACAATAAAATATTCTCATTTTCTTTCCATCAGAAAAACTACTGTGTTTTTACCGTCATTGAAAAAAAAAAGCATACAGGTCCTTTTAGTGGAAAAACAAGGCTGGTAAGTTCCTATTTCATTATTCAGAGATTCAAATTACTTGCAAGATGTGCACATGAAGATCGAGGAAAACAATCTTTCAGTAGCTTTCTTCCTGTCTCTCCTTTGCTCCAAGATTTATTTCATGGCACCAAGTTAAGAAGTTAATTGGGAGGCCTCCTATGCTTCTTGCATCACTTCTAGAGACGTCCACACTAATGAATGTCTTTGTAATGAGCCCTTTGCTTGTGTGGCAGTCTATTTCCCAGTACATCACGGAATTAGAAATCTATGGAAGCCTGGGTTTGTTACATGTGAGTTATCAAATGGACTCCAGGGCACGTGCTTATGTGTGGGTGCACGGCCATCAGCTCATTATATTTATACAGTTGTTATTAGAAAAGTTTATAGCCAGGAAAAAAAATTTTGAGAGTGTGCATAACTCATACATCTCTCTCTTTTCCCTCCCAGCAAGAGCTCTAGAACACATCTCACCGTGCTCCAGCCATCCCTGATCACCCATAATCAGTGTTGTGCTTACACAGTATCTCCCTCAGCCTGGAACTTTCCCCCAGCTGTCTGTCCCCCACCAGACTCACCACCGTGCCGCCTTCTTCTGATCTTTTCCGAGGTAGCTTTAGGTCAGTGGCGTCACTGGAGGAATGCGGGGTGTGCGGACCATACTAGATGACACTTTCAGAGGGCTGACACCAAAATGACTGTCTATAAAATTTTTGTGCAGTGTTTCAGCAAAAATTTATTATTTTTTATAAAACTATCCCTGTAGTTAGTTATAACAACAAAAACATTTTGTGTAAGCCCAGCTTACATGTATCACTATACCTACAAGGCTAAAACTCTATGCTAATTTACTTTTTGAACCTTCCAATACACTCTAGTCAGAGCTGTCATTATTACCCAATTGCAATGACGTTTTGAATCACGTGGTATCGTCTGCACGCGCTACAAGCACGCACTGCTGGTGTTTTTATAGTCGTTGATTTTATCAAGTTTTCCAGTGTGTTAGAGACAATATTGTAATCAGTGTTTGTGAACCTATATCAATAACTTTTTTGAGAATCAAGTGGTCATTAAAGGAAAAGAAGGAGTGATGTACGGGAATTGCGATTTACGAGTAACAGTACAGAAAACATTATTAAGGACTCTGGTCTGGTTCGGGAGGAGGTCCCCGGGGTGGTGACACCATGAGTTACTGCACGAGGTGACACCATCCCTAGTGATACCACTGCTTTAGGTGCTCCCTTTCCTCTACCTGCTTTGTGCAGGCCTTTGATAGAGCGGTCGTCTCTTTGTTTGTAATTGTTTGCATGTCTTTTTACCCATTGAGTTTAGAGACCCTCTCATGTGTCTTTTCGTCTTTGTAACCCAGTGCCTGGCACAGTACCTGACACATAGGCGGTGCTCAGAAATACTCGTTACAGGAAGACCATGCTTACCTGGCCCCACGAGTGAAGGAATGCAAATAGGGTTGGAAGGTCAACTCTAGCATTAGCTGACTGAAGACGCGTGGGCTGAGCCAGCGTGAAGGACCTCACTCAGATGGCTAGCGACGCCCTTTCCGAACAGATGAGGTTCTAGGGCATGGAAAATTAGTCAGTTCCCTCAAATGATTGATGACATTGGAACAAGGTGCTTTTGGAACTCTGTTTAGGTGGTTACAGAATAAATCAAGTTAAAGCCTGGAAGAAAAGCAGTTTCATTGGATTTTAACAAAAATCTAATTGTGCAGGCATTTCAGACCTATTAACTGCTCTTAGGATTGCTGAGTGATTATCACTGGAACAATGACCATTGAGCAGGCGTACTTTTTGTCAGCCAAATTGATTTTGTAGAAGGACCTTGCAAGAGTTCACCCTGCATACCGGGTTCTTCTGCCCTGAGCAGTTTTAAATGCTAATGATAAAACCAAAAACCGAACCCGTTGCCTTCGAGTTGATTCCGACTCATAGACTGTGATATGAGTTGGCTTTGGATATGTGTATAGACAAATTTCTTGCTTTTCATGGCTTGGAAGATTGCCCTAAAGCAATTGCCCATGAAAAATTTTTGCCAGTAACCCTTTACCCTTAAATTGCAAAATAGATGTCTTTACAGCAGATGGAGACATTCTTTATATTGAGGACAATATTTGGGATGTAATCCTGGGGACAGTAATAATAAAGGTAGATATGAATTGAAATTATTTACTTGTTTTCCTGGTAAAGAAAGAGTCTTAAGAGTCCCGTGAAGACAGGGCATCTCTGCTTATTTGGAAGGGCCCTTTTTTTTCGGTCTAGTGGTGCTTCTCAAATTGTATACCAAAGTCCTCAAAACTTCAGGTTTGACTTCCTGAATTACCCCAGTGGTTCCCTCTGTCTTAGGCAGGATGAAAGCACTGGACATTTTTGTTTTCTCTCCTGATGTTGGTAATATACCGAAAAACCAAACCAGTTGCCATGGAGTCGATTCTGACTCATGGCGACCCCATGTATCTCAGAGTAGATCTGCGCTTCATGGAGTTTTCAGTAGCCATGACCTTTTGGAAGTAGATGGCCAGGACTTTCATTCAGGGTGGCTCTGGGTGGATCTGAACCGCCAACCTTCCGGTTAGTAGCCAAGTGCAAAACCATTTATGCCACCCAGGAGCTTCTTTGTAACATATTTAAAAAAACCAAACCCGTTGCTGTGGAGTCGCTTCCAACTCATGGTGACCCCGTGTGTTACAGAGTAGAACTGTGCTCCATAGGATTTTCCTGGCTGTAATCTTTATGGAAGAGATCACCAAGCCTGTTTCCCGTGATGCTGCTAGGTGGGTTTGAACTGCCCATGTATTAGGTTAGTAGTTTTGTGCAAACCATATATGCCACTCTGGGACACTTTTGGTAATATAAAACCAAAAAAAAAAAAACCCAAACCCACTGCCACTGAGTCGATTCCAACTTATAGCAACCCTATAGGACAGGGTAGAACTGCCCATAGGGTTTCGTTGGCTGTAATCTTTACGGAAGCTGATTGCCACATCTTTCTCTCACGGAGCGGCTGGTGGGTTTGAACTGCTGACTTTCGGTTAGCAGCCAAGCGCTTTTGGTAACATAACCCATTGCTGTCAAGTCGATTCTGTCTCATAGTGACCCTACAGGACAGAGTAGAACTGCCCCATAGAGTTTCCAAGGAGTAGCTGGTAGATTCCAACTGTTGACCTTTTGGTTAGCAGCTGAGCTCTGAACCACTGCGCCACCAGCGCTTCATTGGTAATATAGATCCCCTTAACTTAAAGAATATTTTCTCCTGTGAAATTAATTTTGTCTATTTTTCAGGTACTACTCAGTCCTCTATCCACTGGAGAGAAAAATATCTGATGCCAAGTCCCGTGAACTGGTGATGTACATCTGGGCCCATGCAGTGGTGGCCAGCATCCCTGTGTTTGCAGTGACCAATGTGACTGACATCTATGCCATGTCCACCTGCACTGAAGTCTGGAGCTACTCCTTGGGCCACCTGGTGTATGTGCTGATCTACAACATCACCACGGTCATCGTGCCCGTGGCTGTGGTGTTCCTCTTCTTGATACTGATCCGACGGGCCCTGAGTGCCAGCCAGAAGAAGAAGGTCATCATAGCAGCACTGCGGACCCCACAGAACACCATCTCTATCCCCTACGCCTCCCAGCGGGAGGCCGAGCTGCACGCCACGCTGCTCTCCATGGTGGTGGTCTTCATCTTATGTAGTGTGCCCTACGCCACCCTGGTCGTCTACCAGACTGTGCTCAATGTCCCCAACACTTCCATCTTCTTGCTGCTCACCGCCATTTGGCTGCCCAAAGTCTCTCTGTTGGCGAATCCCGTGCTCTTTCTTACCGTGAACAAATCTGTCCGCAAGTGCTTGATGGGGACCCTGGTGCAGCTGCACCACCGGTACAGTCGCCGTAATGTGGTTCATGCAGGGAGCGGGGTGGCTGACGGCAGCCTGGAGCCCAGCATGCGCTCAGGCAGCCAGCTCCTGGAGATGTTCCACATTGGGCAGCAGCAGATTTTTCAGCCCACAGAAGATGAAGAGGAGAGTGAAGCCAAGTACATTGGCTCAGCTGACCTCCAGGCCAAGGAGATACTTTCCACCTGCCTGGAGGTAGAGCAGGGGCCACAGCTGGAACCCACTTCGTCACCCCCAGGCTCAGTGGACTCCACATCCCAGGTGGCACCAGCAGCCCCTGTGGAAGCTGAGACAGTCCCTGACAAGTATTCCCTACAGTTTGGCTTTGGGCCTTTCGAGTTGCCCCCTCAGTGGCTCTCCGAGACCCGACACAGTAAGAGGCGGCTGCTTCCACCCTTGGGTAACACCCCGGAAGAGCTGATCCAGACGAAGATGCCCAAGGTAGGCAGGGTGGAGCGGAGGATGAGCAGAAACAATAAAGTGAGCGTTTTCCCCAAGGTGGACTCCTAGCAAGGACTGTAAGTTCCTGGAAGCAACAGGGAGCGTCCACGACCCTACCCTCCCTTCACTCTGGCTGTATGATTTGTATGATCTCGTTGCAACCCAGTGTGGGTCAACTCCCCTTGTACGGGCCACATGCTTTTGAATGAAAGGAAAATATATGTAAAATCAAATGTCCTCTTTATTGAGGGAGTATATACATGTATTTATGTCAGTGATACATGTCCATAGCAAAGCCCACGTTCCTCTAGTGGAGATGAGGCTGGGCAGTTAGGAACGGGTCTTGGGGTGGGTACCCCACTGCATTTTCTGGGGACTCCTTAGTTCCCTGGGCCCAGCAGAGGACACATGGAAGGAAGACCGTCCACAAGCTCAGTGGGAGCAGGGGCACTCAAAGGGAAGCCCAAGATAATGATGGAGCCGTGTGGCCACAAAGAAAATATGACAGAACATTAACACCTTTTGTAATGACACCTTTTCTCTGGAAGGTCCAATCATAGGACTGGCAGTTCCTCACGATGCCCTTCATCCCTTTCACTGGGATGAAAGAGATGAAAGAAAGAGATGACTATTCCATCTCTATTTGACCGGCATTGAAATAGGTGTGCCCAGAAAGGTGAGGGAGATCTTTTGTCCTCGATTATCCGGACACCCTCCTAGCATCACCAAGGCACCAGAAAGATACTCCTGCCCTCCTCTAGTCATGGTATTGGTTGGAAACCACCACAAGCTTTTCACGATATTGTTCCTTCTTAAATTTTGTTTTCTCAACAAATGAGAGAGAAGCTTAGAGGTGGAGAAAGACTGAGAAATGCCACAACACTCGTCTTTCCTCTTCCCACGAGAAAGGTGCTACAAAAAATCAGCATGAGAATACTGAAAAACACTTTCTTATGCAAGCTTTTGAAATGAAAAGGCAGTTGAAATGCAGAGTTAGTGTAAACTGAGTCCTCTGGAAACAAGCTGAAAACACATAATTAGGAAAGGTGGTTCTGTCCGTCAGGCTGAGAATCTGACAAAGGTGGCTCCGTTCTGATGAGGACTCCCGAGCCCAGGCATGGTCTCGTTTTCAGTCTATTTGTACAGCTGTGGTTCTCTCTTCGTTTTGGACAAGAAGGAGGAACAGAACAGGGAGAAATAGCCCTGTTAGTCATTGCAGAATACCAAGGAACACCTAGCTTAGGGTGAGCTCTTTGCTTCCTCCATCCCAGTGACGTTCCAGTAGGAGCCAGAGTGGATGGAAGAGGGAGGACATTGTCCTCAGCTGATTAGTCCCTGGTGGCGCTTACAAATGATTCGAGTTCATTTCAGGAGTGGATTTCACCACGCTGAATTCACACAGAGATAGTACTTCACTCGGAATGAGGGCAAGTCAACTGCCAGCTGTCTTTCTTTCTCTAGGGGTTTTGTTAATAGTTCTTAGGGGTGTCTCCAGTGTCTTGAGCAAGCTTGAAAGGCCATTGGGTATTCTCACTGGCAAACTGCTAAGTCGCAAAGGCAGTGGTCCTTACAGGGAAGCTCAGACTACGTGGAGGGAGTCTCCTTTTCCTTTCTTGGGTGTGGTGTCTCGTGATTCTGAACAAGTGAACCCAAAGGCCCTGCCCCTGCAGAGGGAGCACCCTTTCCTCCGTGTCGAGTCTGCTTGCAGTGTCGTTTGTTCACAGCAGAGATGGGACTGCCACATCCTGACCTGCGGTGCCCTGCCACCTGGCCCCTTTGTGCATGCCATCTGTAACCCCTCACCCTGGTAGTTAACGTGGTGGTCCTTCGAGCTAACCTTTCCAAACCTTCACAGTTGTTACTTTTATCATGGGGAAAATGAATCTGTCAGAAAACTGTGTCCACTTTAGAAGACTCTGTCCAATGTAGCCACTTTCCGATAATACATATGTACGACTTAATTCTGATGGGGCACATTTGGTGGGCATATTTCTTATGTATGTTTGAAGTGCCTGATTGACTTCTCACAGGTCATTGCCAGATGTATTTCTATACTCCTTGATGAATAACATTTTAATAAAAAACTGAAAAGCAGCTTCTGAACTCAAGAAAAGTTGTATGAGCTATTTTTTTTTCCTTCTTTTCCCTCTCTCTCAAGTGGCGTACTCAGCGAGCCTCTCTCTTCTTACGTGATCGCAAATGAAAGGCCTTTGTTTTTTCCCATAAATGCGGATGCGGGATTGCACGTTTTCTTGTATTGTCGCAACTAAAAGAAAATGAATTACCAGGGAGAAAATGGGACATTAGGACAATTGGTCCAGATTGAGTTGGTGGATGGACTGCTCCAGGGTCTAGGTGGAGGTACACAGGGAGGAGAGGAGTGGGGCTGTCACCCGTCCACCACGTGGGGGGGCGATAGCATACTGGTTAGAGCCGTGGACCTTGAAGTCAGATTGCCCATACCCGAATCCTGGCTCCACCACTGACTGACTGGCTTTGTGACTTTGGGCAGGTGAGATAACCTCCATGACTCTCAGTTTCCTGGTGCAGTGGTTAACAACTTGGCTGCTAACCAAAACGTCAGCAGTTCGAATCCACCAGCCGCTCCTTGGAATCCCTATGGAGCAGTTCTACTCTGCCCTGTAGGGTCGTTATGAGTCGGAATCGACTCGATGGCAATGGATTTGGTTTGGTTTTTTGGAATAATGGTGTCAGAAGCTTCTGTTGCCCCAACTCACATACTTCCCCTGATTTTAGTCGCATCTGCAGTGGGCAGTTCTGGGCAGCTTTCACTGACTTCTTCCCCGAGAGCAGTCAAGCCCTAGCTTGAGAGGAGCCATTCACTGATGCGCCTCAAGGAGCCCTCCTAGTGAGTGGTTAAGTGCTCGGCCGCTAACTGAAAGGTTGGCGGTTGAACCCACTGGCCAATCCGCAGGAGAAAAGATGTGGCAGTTTGTGTCTGTAAAGATTTACAGCCTTGGAAATCCCATGGGGCAGTTCTGCTTTGTCTTACAGGGTCGCTGTGAGTTGGAAGTGACCCGACAGCAGGGGGTGCGGGCTCCAGGTCAGGTCTGAGCAGTGCCGAGCGCTTGTCTGACCTGCGCCCCGGGGTGGGGTGTTTCAGCACGCACACCGCTGCTGCAGCACCTGGAACTGACCTGCTCAGGGGGGAGAAAAGCTTATCTGGGCTGGATTTTGGTGGAGGGGAATGGTTACTGCCTTCTTATTATAATCTACCAATGCATCAACATACAATGTAAACAACACCCTAACGAAATAATTAACTTCTCCCCAAATAGTTGTCAAAAGTTAGCAGGTTTATATCACAACTGATGTGCTGTATTAGAGTTCTGTAGCCAAAAGATGAATCGTGCTAAAGGACCTGGGAAGATGTGACTAAAACAGAAATTGAAATTGGTATCAATGCCTAGGGCTGCATCAAAAGCCTTTTTAGGTGAAGCTTTGAAAATAAATGGAAATGATCTTAGTCTCTCCGTACACAAGGCGGCAGAAGCAAAAATCTTCTCCTTTTAGCTTCAGGTTTGACCCATGTTTTTCCCCATTCCTGCCATGGGGACAAGTTAGTTAATCGGCACAACAAAGGCATGAAAACCTTCATGGAACTGAAACTATTGTCTCCAGCTTTGTTTTACATGAACCTCTGTTGCTATGTCCCATGTTCACGGGACTCGGGAGCCTCTTAGGTCCAACCTTAAGTGAATGAATGAATTCGTACGTAAGGGATGCAGCACCTGGAGCACTGCAGAATCTCTATCACCTGTGAGCTGATGCAAGGTTCCCTGTCAAGAGAGTTGTTGCTGATTCTTACTGATTTCCCCTGGAATGACTCAGACAAGGGTTAAAGGCATGGAATGCAAGGTCTTTGCCCCACCTTGCTCTTCAAACAACTAAGCCTCGCCTTATTCACTAGAGAGAGTGTAAATTCTCAACCTGGAAGGGAAGTTCAATGCTGAGAAACACGGTTCCAAGCATGCGTGTCGGATGTAAAGAATAATCCTTTTCTCAGCTATATTGATCAGAATTTAGTGATTAAACCTCTCTGCCTCCTCTCAGTTTTCTATGTGCTTATTCATTGCAATCTGTGTACAAAATATGCACACAACGGAGGTGCTAGAATGAACATGTGTTGTACATTCTAAGGCAACAAGTGGGAAAATGTACCACACGAGGGATAATGCTTTTGAAATATTAACTTTATTCCCTGAGGCACGTGAGCTCCCTTCTTGCCTTTCCTTTGCCCTTGATATTAACATTTATTGCCTCAGGAGACGGGACAAAGCAGAGTGGAAAGCAAATATCCTGTTCTCTTCCCAATTGTTGCATCTCAAAGCCTGGGTCTTAGGAGAACAGAGGGGACCCTTGGGGGTTAGGCTAGTAGTTCTCACCGGGGGCAATGTTTCCCCTACGGAATATTTGGTAATGTCTAGGGACACTTTCGTCAAGATTTGAGGGATGCTCCTGACATCTGGTGGTGCAGTGGTAAAGAGCTTGGCTGCTAACCAAAAGGTCAGCAGTTCAAATCCACCAGCAGCTCCTTGGAAACCTCATGAGGCAGTTCTACTCTGTCCTATAGAGTCGCTATGAGTCAGAATCGATTCAACAGCAACTGGTTTGGTGTTTTGGTTTGGTACTGGCATCTAGTGGGTAGAAGCCATGGATGCTGCTAAACACCCTATAATGCACAAGGCAGCCCCCACAACAAAGACTGACCTGGTCCAAAATATCACTAGTGCCAAGGCTGAGAAACCCTGGGTTAGTCAAAGGCTCAATGTGGTTTTAGGAGGGTGAGACCATATCCCTCCAATAGGAAAAGATTCCCTGGGGTTGAGGATAGTGGAGAGAAGAGAAGCCAGAGGGAAGTGATGAGGGTGTACCTTCTGGATTAAGGGGTCGTAATGCTGCCTCCTGAGCAAAGCCCCCAGGATGCAGGAAAACAAAGCAATATCTGTGCAGTTACAAATCTGTATAACTGCAGGAGTCTTGGAGTAAGTCCAGGAAGCCATGGCCCTGTAGATAGTCTCAAAGATATTTCCACGAGAAAGAGAAAT